AAAAAAAAAAAAAAAAAAAAAAAAAAAAAATCATTAGGTACAGCCCTTTGGCAGAACTGTGATCTTTTCTCTACCCTGTGCTTTAGTGGCCTAAACCTAAAAACATGAGGAAAACAGGATGCAAACTCCCATCTCCAGAATCTAAGTCCTGCTCTGTGAAGTATAAAGACATCACACTTCCTGGGTTGGAAAAAAAACACTGCCAGTGAATCTAATCAAGGCAGCAATTACATTTCCTTCACAACGTACTTGGAGAGCAATTAAGTAGTATATGAGCATAATGTGTAGGACACAGGGTTGCTATCCATTTATCTATCCATCCATCCATCCATCCATCCTACTATCTACTATCTATCTATCTATCTATCCGTCCATCTCTATGCAGAGACACAAAGCAGGAGACAGACAGAGTCAAGACAGAAGGGGCGGGAGTGAAAAGGGCGAAGGGGAATAAATCCTCACTGCTGCAGTATTAATTCTTAATTGGAAAGAGATGCTGTTCTTCAGCGTAGCGATTCTGCTTCATTTAGCTTACATGAAGAGACCCAGGGCAGAGGGCTACGTAGCTGTTTCAGAGCACTCAGCAGAAAAATCAGCGGAAAGGAGGGAAGGAGGAGGAGGAGGAGGAGGAGGAGAAGGAAGAGGAGGAGGTGGAGAAAGCAATGTCTATATACCCTATACTTGAAATAACCCAATTCATCATAAAAACACTCACATATACACACACCCCCACACCTCCCTGATTTATAGACCCCTTTCCTAATTGGTAAATACACCTCGAATCTCCAGTTGTGATTGGCCAGAAATGCCTCACTGTGTGCCCCGAAGATGAGTGGACCATCTGGCCTGTTCCTCCCTCTAGAGCAGCCTGATTGCGGAGCCTGGAGGTGGGCCCAGATAACTGTAGTCTCAAGTTAAGTGCCAGCTGTACTTAACAGCAATGGGTTAAAGGTTAATAATTAAGAAGAAAGCATGGGATTGATTAAAAAATAGAGAGAAAATGTTAATATTAAAGCAGGAATTCACAGTAAAACCACACCTTTCTTCTTTAATAGGCCTACTAGTAGTGTTACAGAACATGCAGTCCTACTAGGAGCTATTACTGCACTGTTGATTTTCTCAGGAGTGTCTCACAAGATACAGAAACTTGAAAGCCTGCATGGAAAAATCTAGCAGCGGCGCACGATGCTGAAAAAAAGCTCTGTTCAGTTTCACAACAACTGCACACTGACTTAATGTTGCCTGTCAAATACAATGAGCCTCTCGCTGCTTTAACCAGCAGCCCTCACCTAGAACTTCATTGGCATCACTTTAAAGTGAGTGTCAGGGTGAAAACACCTTTTTAAAACACAGTGATGACAGACATTTTGCATCACATAAACACAGACATCTGATGTGAGACAGTGGATCTTCGGCTTTCGGTGTTTAGATAATTAAAAAATACTCATATGGCTAAATTACTGTCCAGAAACTGCACATTTTATCTGATTTAAAAGCCAAGTTGATTTAAAAGGAGCTTTTCTGTTTAAGTGAGGCACTAAATGTGATGTCCAAATGTGAATCTAAGTGATATAGCAATGCCCAGTCATACTGTGGACTACACCTTACACAGCACTGAGCCTTTACATTGATGTAATCGCCAACACTGTCCAATTATGTAACAGCAGAAAAATAAAACAGGATGGCTGAAGTATCTCTTGACACCGGGGCTGAGTGGACAAGCCCAAAGTTGTCTCCCCATCACGAGCCCGGGTATGTTTTCAATCAGGGGAACCGTTACTTACGTGTATTGCTGTGGGAATGTGAGCCCCGCTGCTCCAGGCCACGATGCGCTGAAAATCAAGATAATCTGGATAGATACCAAGCAGACGATGCTGCAAGACCTTTTGCCTATCGCCATTTTCCATTAACAATTCTCGTCACGGGGTTTCTGTGCGTGAATGAAGCGCTCCGGACCGTCTCATGGGCATACAGCTAGCTCGGTGTGAACGTCCGGCTCAGTTTCCCGACGAGTTCATGGTATCGGCTTGTGTTGTCAAGTGGACGCGGAGGAGGCAGGCATTGGCCGCGGAGGCATCGCGGACGGTGGGAGATGCACTAATGCAGCTGCCAAGACACTGCAGAGTCTCTCCTCCTGCTCCCACATATACACCACCACCACCAACACCACCAACACCAACACACAGCCCCGGCGCGTCCACGACGACAGCTCTCCCTCTCTAGCTCTCTCCTCAGCAGCGCGTGGAGCCAGGCGCGTTCACGCTCACCAGGCAACAGAAGAGCAGAGGAAGAATCTAGTTTGGGCTTTATTTATCTCTGCAGAGCCACGTGGGATTTGTCATCGGCATAAATTTAGTGTTTTTTATACAGGGCTGACCGCTGCTCTCCTGTGTGAGATACTGCAGGCCAGCTACAGAAGACAACCACAGCAGGGGTGTCAAACTCATTTTAGTTTATGGGCCACATTGTGATGTCAAGTGGGCCACACCAGTAAAACCATTGCATAAAAACCTATAAATAACAACAGCTCCATTCTTAAAACGTGCATCCATCTACACAACCGATAATAAACAGCCTGAGACTAAGCAGTAATTATAATATATATTGCCATTTACATACAGTCTCTTTCAAAGTAAAAGCACTACGTCGGTACAACACCACAGTTGTTTTCCTCGAACAACTAATGCACATGGTTGGGTTTAGGGCAACAAAAGCATGTGGTTGGGTTTAGGGCAACAAAAGCATGTGGTTGGGTTTAGGGCAACAAAAGCATGTGGTTGGGTTTAGGCAGCAAAAGCACATGTTTAGGTTTAGGATAAAAGAACAGGGTTTGGCTTTAAATTCTTTTTGGACACGAACACCACTCTCCCGGGTGAAAGGTAAGAAGGTTACTGTAAGAAACCTCGGAGTAATATTTGATCAAGATTTGTCTTTTAATTCTCATTTAAAGCAAACCTCACGGACTGCATTTTTTCATCTGCGTAATATTGCGAAAATTAGGCCTATCCTGACCCGAAAAGATGCAGAAAAATTGGTCCACGCTTTTGTTACCTCAAGGCTGGATTACTGTAACTCTCTATTATCAGGTAGCTCTAGTAAGTCCTTAAAAACTCTCCAGCTAATTCAGAATGCAGCAGCACGTGTACTAACAGGAACTAAGAAACGAGATCATATTTCTCCTGTTTTAGCTTCTCTGCGCTGGCTCCCTGTAAAATTGAATTGAATTTAAAATCCTACTGTTAACTTATAAAGCTCTAAATGGTCAAGCTCCGTCATATCTTAGAGAGCTCATAGTGCCATATTATCCCACCAGAACACTGCGCTCTGAGAACGCAGGGTTACTCGTGGTCCCTAAAGTCTCCAAAAGCAGATCAGGAGCCAGAGCCTTCAGCTATCAGGCTCCTCTCCTGTGGAATCATCTTCCTGTTACGGTCCGGGAGGCAGACACCGTCTCCACATTTAAGACTAGACTTAAGACTTTCCTCTTTGATAAAGCTTATAGTTAGGGCTGGCTCAGGCTTGCCCTGTACCAGCCCCTAGTTAGGCTGACTTAGGCCTAGTCTGCCGGAGGACCCCCCTATAATACACCGGGCTCCCTCTCTCTCCCTCTCTCTCTCTCTCTCATCCTATTACTGCATCTTGCTAACTCGGCCATTCTGGATGTCACTAACTCGGCTTCTTCTCCGGAGCCTTTGTGCTCCACTGTCTCTCAGATTAACTCATATCGCAGCGGTGCCTGGACAGTGTGACGTGTGTGGTTGTGCTGCTGCCGTGGTCCTGCCAGATGCCTCCTGCTGCTGCTGCCATCATTAGTCATTAGTCATACTTCTACTGTTATTATACACATATGACTATTGTCACACAAGTATACTGTCAGATATTAATACATACTTTCAACATATTGTACCACAGTAGCCAGAACTATAACTATAATATTATTACTTTCATTAATGTTGTTGTAAGCTACTGTCATTACCTGCATCTCTCTCTCTCTCTCTCTCTCTCTCTCTCTCTCTGTCTCATTGTGTCATACGGATTACTGTTAATTTATTATGCTGATCTGTTCTGTACGACATCTATTGCACGTCTGTCCGTCCTGGAAGAGGGATCCCTGCTCAGTTGCTCTTCCTGAGGTTTCTACCATTTTTTTTCCCCGTTAAAGGGTTTTTTTTTTTGTTTTTTTTTTTGGGGAGTTTTTCCTTATCCGCTGTGAGGGTCTTAAGGACAGAGGGATGTCGTATGCTGTAAAGCCCTGTGAGGCAAATTGTGATTTGTGATATTGGGCTTTATAAATAAAATTGATTGATTGATTGAAATTGAAAGGTGGTGTTTGTTGGACCCATCCACCACCTGTCCTGCCCGCCCCGCTTGGACTTACACCTCTTTAACCTTCATTCTTGTCCCGTCGCGTTTCATCCTGACCCTGCTGAGCGCCATTAAGCTATAACACTGACCAGCCGTGTATCATGCTGATGTTCAAGGAAAGCTTTTTTCGTCAGTATCTGATGCTGCAAGTCACTGCCCAAGCGCCCGATTTCAGCAATTTCAGAATGAGACTGAGTTGCAATTTGATGTCAAGTGGGCCACACCAGTTAGACCATTGCATAAACACCTACAAATAACAACAGCTCCATTTTGTCCTTTCTTCAAGTGTAAAGAAGTACATTCTTAAAATGTGCATCCATCTACAAAACAGATAATGAACAGCCTGAGACTAAGCAGTGATTATATAAAGCCAACCATACACCACCATCTGAAATAATCAAATGCAAATGTAATCATAACCATAAATAAGCTTAAAGGGGAATTACATATATTTTCATAATTTATACATGTTTTTCTTTTGGTCAAATCCAAAAACTACTCAGATTTGTCATGTCATGGGATAGAGGCTGGCAACCTGCAGCTCTGGAGCCACATGCGACTCTGTAGCCCCTCTCCAGGGGATGGTAAAAAAATTCGTAACAGTTATTTTTTTTTTACATTTTAATTTTCATTTATCAGTGCTGTAGGCCTTAAGTGCTTCTGACATTCTCCAATTGTAGGAATGTGTGACCTATACAACATTTTGGCAATTAAGATATGCATCAATCATCTCCAGCCCAGGGCCTTTTCCTCTACATTTTGCCAAATCTCAATAGCAGTAGCCACAGTAGCCTAGTCTTATATGTCTCCCTTGCTTGGCTCGCTATGGATTCCAAATCCAGAAAAGGAAAAGCTTGGAAGAAACAGAATTTAAAGGTAGGATCTGGAGGATTTTCAAACAAAACAAAATGTGGACATATAGCTACAAATAAAATCCTGCTTTAATAATCATCTATGGGCTTCTACTCATGTGTGGTGGTGACGCTGTTTGCAGAGCTCCTGCCCTTTAACTGTATTTTGATGTTTTTGTGAGCTCAGACCGCTTCTGGGCGGAGATTTCCCCAGCACATGAGAGAGTGCAGGTGCCATACCCGAGCTTGTCCGAGCGTGCACCAGCACGAGCCTTGCCTGAACCTCTTCTGTGAAGCCTTCTTCCGTACCTCCGGGCTCCATACACCCGGGAGAGTTGAGCCTGATAGGAGGGGCCAAATTTGAATGTGTGTTTACAAACAGCAACTGGAATATCCTCCAAACCCTACCTTTAATTGTGCGTGAAGAGGCTTGTTTGCTTTTACCACCAATTCTGCAAAGTTAAAGGTCCCAATAATCATAAATAGCCCACTGCAGTGCCACTTGGTGGTAAAACATATTACTGAACGCTCATTTAGACCTAATTTAGATTTCATTGGCTGTGTTACCCTCATTATAATGCTTAACATGTTTTGCAGCTTTAAATTATTTTTGATAAAAAATGGCTCTTTTGATAGTGAAGGTTGTCGACCCCTGTCATAAAGTACAAAGTCTGAAGCTGCTCCTTAGACAATTGGAAATTATGTTCTACAAGACAGCGAGGGCATGCAGGGGAATGTTCTGAGTATATGGGCACATTTTCTGATTCAGAACTGAGAACGCTACAATAGAATAGGGCTTATTTGGGTATAAAGAGGAAACACAAACAGAAAACACAAAATCAGGCTCCCATTCATTTTCTATGGAGCAGCTCCAGATCTTTACCTTACAACAGGCATGTTCAAAGTCTGGCCCAGGGGCAAACTGTGGCCCGCAGACCAATTTAAAATGGCCCCCGGCTTGTTGTGCAAACTATATTATATCATCCACCACACAATATTAGTCAAACACGATCATTTTGTGTTTTTTTCTATCCAACTCATGATGGCAGGACCATCATACCGTTTGTAGACATGCACCAAGTGGGAACTGTGCATGCAGAACTAATGTGTTCATAAATGGACAATAACCAAGCAAACGGTTCTCTAACAGCAGACATTTTTTGATAGGTAGCAGACATGGCCACAGCAAAGAAGCAGAAAGTCAACAGTGAGGGCCGCTGCTTTTAGGAGAGATGGAAAGTGGAATACTTACTGAAAGATGAAAGGGTTGTGGCTTGCTGGCCCTCAGGTATTTTCACATTATCTAATGTGTCCCCCATTCAAAAACGTTTGGACAACCCTGCCCTATTTCCCCCTTATTATCAATCAGTTAATAAAGCAAGTTAAAATGTAATTCATACATGTAATATTTCAGTTCTCATCAATAAATATTAGTTACTGATGCATTTGATATTCAATATATTTGACTCGTCTGATAACTAATAAGTAAATAAGTAAAACTGCCCAAAAAATTCATACGACACACAAATTCTGAGCAGGGTTTGGATCTATAGTGTGTTCACATTGAAAACTGGACAAAATAAAGTATACTCGAACCAGAGTTTATAGACACTGGATACAGTGAATTTTTGAGTGTGCTGTCACCACTAAACTATTCTCCCACAATGCAGTGCACAAATGAAATGGAAGAACACCTCTGGAAAACAAAACAATGTGGGTGGCACAGCTCCAGAAAGAGAAAACAAAAAATAAGTAATAAATTGAAGCAAGACATTTTGATTGTGTTTGTTAAAGGGACAGTTCACCTCAAAATCAGATTGTTCCTGTTACCTGTAGTACTTTTTTCACAGCAGACACTTTGACTTGTCATAGCTGGAAAAACACAAGTACATTAACGATCCCTCTTTGATTGTCCCAGTAAGCCAGAGAGCCAGCATGCATAACACCTACTATGTCAAACATCTGCTGTGAGAAAGGCCTATTAACACTGCTGTGCATAGTCTGCTATGAGCAT